TGTAGCAGGCCCAGTTCTCCTTGATCATCTTCCTTAATTTGTTCTCGTCGCGGGCCGAGACCCTTACCTCTTGTAGTAGCACAACCCCAGGTTGGAAGGACTGGATTAAGTATGCGAGGATGTGCTTGAGAACAAAGTGATTGCAACCATTCACATTTTGTGAGATGAGGAAACCTGGGTCTGAGCTTTTTCGATGCATCTGCGCCCAATCATTGCCCCTTTGCTCCTCCTGCCTTTTCCCCCTCCGCTCCTTCCCTCTCTGGGAGGTTTTCTCTCCTGAATGTGCATTCTCCTCCATTTCCTCACCAAAAGGTCTTGGTTGGGGCTTCGTGGTGGTCGCCTGCCGCTGGATTGCGATCGGCTGTACCTTCTCCTCAGGCTTTGCCGTCGCGGTCATCGGCCGCTGGATTGCGTTTGGCTGTACCTCCTCCTCAAGCTTTGACGTCGAGTTCATCAGCCGCTGGATTGCGTTTGGCTGTACCTCCTCCTCAAGCTTTGTCGCCGAGGTCATCAGCCGCTGGATTGCGTTCGACTGTACCTCCTCCTCCGGCTTTGTCGTCGATTTCAAGCTCTCTTGCACCCTCGCCTCCTTCGGCAGAGATCGCAGAATTACCTGGGCCGTTTCCTCCATCTTCTCCAGATGGGTGAGAGCTGCAATCAGTTGTGTTCTGGTTTGCATCAGCCATTCTTGCGGAAGTCTTAGTCTTGTCCTCGTTTCCATCGTTGCTAGCCCGTCTTGATTTGTCTCGCAGAGCAGTAAGGTGTGAAGGATAGCGAACACTCCGCAGTTGAAGTTATCTTCCTGTTGGAAGGCTGAGCACCACTGTATCTGCCATGGGGCATTGGTCTGATCGTCAAAGATGTGTTCGATCACTCCGATTGTCAGCTCAGCCATTTCTCTTGCTCCTTTTGCGTGCTCCCCCGTTGTTACAAGATTCCTCGCTCCCTCGATCCCTCGTGGGTCCCTCGTTGTGCTCGTTCTGTCCTCGCAGAGGGGGTCCAAGATGTACGCGCATCGCCGATCATATCTTAATGCAATTAGAATCCAGTGGTTGCTGTGGATGATAGTTGGGAACAGGAAGGTGTGTTGCTCATCTCTCAAGCTGCTGAGGTGAAATCTGTTCCCGACTCTCAAGCGGGACGCCTCGTCTCGCAGACTGGATGTTACCCTTGGCAAGAAGATGATGTTCCGCGTTTGCTGGTCCTCACGAGCTCTCCCTTTGCGTACCATATGTATTGCTCTTCCTCCTTGAAGAGCCTTGCTCATCTCATTGAGAGTAACTTCGATCATGTTCTCGCATAAAAATCCGCTTACTCCTCGATTGTTCAGGGCAGTGATGCCAAATTCCTTGTCGCCTCGTTTGTCTGACCATGGGATCTCCTCGATCCAATCAAAAAAATATAATGTTCTATCTACATGTTGCGTTTCCTTTGAAACCGTTTCCCTCTCCCCCCCTTGCCTACTCCCGGCACTCCCCCCTTCCTCCTCCCTTCCTCCTCCTGTCATGATTCGGTTTTAGAGTTGAGAGGCACATCTCCAGTCCCATCTCCTCCTCTGCCTTGCTCAAGAGAAACTCAATTTCGTCTCCCGAGCCTACGCTGCCTTGGTAGGTTAGCGTGGCTGTGAGAACTAATTTATTCAGGGCAAGAAACAACAAGTCAGTTCGAAATTCTTTTTGTTGTTTCTCCCCTCCTCTCCCTGTTGCTTTTGCAAAGGCTCCCTGGCGTCTTCTTGATGCTACCGTCTCCCACGCATGCTGCTCGCTTACTCTTGCAATCTTACTCTTCAAAATTTGCATGTCGTCGTCCTGGGTTGCCGAGGATGATTCCGCCCATTCCTTCAACGTCGGAAAACATGCATTTCCAGGAGATGACAAGCTGTCGTACAGGCCGACTATGGCTCCATCGAGCCTGAGTTTGCAAGCTTGGTTTTCTGCACTCTGTCCCTGGTTGACAGTCTCCTCCAGAACTTTGTAGATGTCTTCGAGGACCACGTTTGCCTCTGGTTCTGGGATGTTGATCTCATTCTCGATCCGTTCGAGATCTACCTGTGCCCACAGAGGCTCCGTGGGGGGTTCTGTAGCGATTGCTTCCCAGATGTTGGCACTGCCTGGCTCTAGGAGAAGAAGTTTCCCCGCCCTGTCCCATGGCGCAAAGGATCTGAGTATGTCGATCGCCGTTTCTTTTTCTGAGAAGCTGAGCACTAGATGTTCACCGTTCCAGCTGTTGGTCTCGACATCTTCCTTCGAGGAGATCTTGACGATGTGCTCAGCCGCTGACTCCTTCCAGCTCGCCACGATCCGTCTCAGTCCTCGAATTGTCATGCCCATAGAGAGATCCTCCCCGTCGCAGATCTGTTCAGCTTCCTCTCTGGTGAACCTTCCCTTCTGTGCTTTACTCTTGACCAGCACCTCATAGGTCACTCTTCGTGGTACTGCTCCTAGCGCGTCGGGCAATAAGTCCAACCTAATTGGATGCTGTCTCGATACCCTGGTGATTGCACTAACCTGAGTAGTGAACCATTTGAGGATCTTTTCATCTTCCGACATCAGTCCGAGGTGTATGCCTCCTCCATTCCTGTCGTCTCCCTCAAACATCCGTAGCGTGGTGCTCAGGACGTCCGTCGAAGAGCATCTCGCAATCCAATCGATCTCTCTTCCTTGTCGTATCTCGTCCACTCCGGCTGCTGCGAAAGTGCGTTTGTTGGGCTGACCTTGAGGTCTCCTCTTCGTCTTGACCTCTAGCTGCATGCCCGCTTCCGGCTGCACCTCCAACACAGCTATTCCTTGTTGCAGCAGGTATTGACGATAGATCTCCGTAATCCCAGCTGAGTTCATGCCATTCATCTTGAGGAGGTGAGAGAACTCAGCTAGGGCCCCCGCCTTGCCAGAGTGCTTATCCTTCTGTGGCCTTATCTTGAAGGAGCAAGGATGCTTCGAATGCGCGTTCGCCGCGCGGATCATCTTTCCGTCGATCCTGAAGTTCGTCTGTCCTTTCCACAGCAGTTCTGCTGCGTCGTTCAATTGGAGTGTTGCCACGACTGGGATTTCATCCACTGTCGGAATCAAATCTTTCTTGATCGGGGCTCTCCACGAGATGCATTTCTTGCCCTGCTCCTCGTGCACCAAGAGTCCTTGATCCTTCAACTTCTCACACAGTACCTCAACTTGTTTTATGTACTGGGTAGGAACTCCGAGGATAGCCATGGTAATCAGTTTACCACTCTCGGGGGACGCTCCTGAAGCATCGATGCAGGCACTCTTGTCTAGTACCTCCTGTTTGTCTGCGTTCCATGCAGAGACATACCACGACTGTCCTTCTTCCCCCCATTCTTTGATGGCATCCTCCTGGCTCCTGACTTCAGCATGTTTGCAGGTCTGTCGAATGGCTTCGGCTAAGGCGTTCATCGAGACTTCCTTGGACTGCAAGGCTCTGCCTGTCCTGCTCTGAGGGTACTGCCTGACGAAGTGTTCCAATCTTCGGATCAGCTCTCCTAGCGAAGGTGCTGAAGGTGTCGTGTCCTTGTTTAGGAACTGGGAAACTCGGACACCAGCAATCTGTTTCCTTTCCTCTTTGGATAGATACCGTGACATGATCAAACAACCGTTTCTGCACAGAAAGATATCCTGTTCAGCACCCTAGCTCGCAGAGATCCCCTCAAACTGCAGGGGGGGATAGCATGGCTGTTACTCCGGCGGTCTGACTGTTACTCCGGCGGTCTGACTGTTACTCCGGCGGTCTGGCTGTTACTCCGGCGGTCTCCTAAACCCTAAACCCTACACCCTACACCCTAAACCCTAAACCCTGTCCACCTTCAGCGAGCAGGCCAGCACAGTGCATCTCTGCGAATTTACTCAGTGCTATGAACAGGAAGCTAAGAGATCGACGCTCTATGTCGTCGCTCTCCGCCTCCGAGCCTGCTCGGCGGCTCAGCAGCTGCCGTTGCCCGTGGCGAGAACGCGCTGCCCCTCCTTGCCTTCTTGCTCTCTCCTTGCACGCGAGTCCAGCGCTTGCTCTGCAGCCACTTCCCCAGCTTCTCCTTGAGAACGTTGCGCCCAACTCCCTGCTCCTCTGGCATCTTCGCCCACTCTCCCAGCGACATGAACTCCAGGCTCCCCGGAGAGTAGAAGGTGTCGTGGAGGTTGCCAACGGCCTTGTCCAGGACCAGCTTGATCGGCTCGCTCGTCCCTGCCTCGTTCAAAGAAGCTGCATCTTCGATGACTGCTGACAGCTCGCTGACGAGCTGCATGTCCTCTTGGCTTGACGGAGATGCTGCCTCCATTGTGATCCTCTCCAGGTCTGTAAACTCCAGCGTTCAAATCCTCCTCCATGTCGATGCCTTCAACTTTGATCTCGAGCCTGTTAGCGATCTCCAACAAGACTCTCTTGACTCTTGCGATGGAAGTGTTGCCGCCGTTGCACAGCCCCTCCATCTCCTTCCTCGTGAAGCGACCAGATGCCGCCGTCGACTTGATGATGATCTTGATCTCCTTGCCGTCCTTGCCGCCTGCCTTCTTCTGCAGTCTTGATGCCTTCTTCAACTTATTTCTGGACACAAAGCGATCAGCTGTCAACTCGACTGCGAGCGCCTCTCTGATGGGTGGTGGAGGTCAAAGGTACTGCGGCCTCCGTGGCCCCTGCTGTGGGATCATTGTGTTCAAGAGATGGAACTACACTGGCAACGAATTCACCAAGCCGCTTCGTTCCCAGCGTCGGCGTGGCTGCCCAAGCTCCGAGCGTCATGAACTCCACGTTGCCCGGCGAGCAGAAGGTGTCATGCAGCTTGCCAACACTCTTGTCTAGCTCCAGGGAGATCGGCTTGCCAGCTAGCAGCTCCTCCTCTGATGTCTCCAAGAGCATGAGCGAGGACACGGTACAGCATTATGCCTGCTTGGCGCTGGCGAACCTGGCAGAAAACAGCAATGCAAACTGTGAGAAGATCAGGAAGGCAGGGTGGCGCTGGGGCACCTGGCGGACAACAACGCGAACAAAGAGAAGCTATGGAGAAGCATCTTGACATCAAGGAGGTGCAGGAGTATGCCTGCTTGGCGCTTGGGAACCTGGCGGGAAAAAACGACGCGAACAAAGAGAAGATCAGGAAGGCAGGGGGCATCGAGGCGATCTTGGCGGCTATGGAGAAGCATCCGGGGAGCGAGGACGTACAGAAGTATGCCTGCTATGTGCTGGGGAACCTGTCTGCCAACGGCAAGCAGGTGGTTGGCGGTGCCCGCCGGGACTCAGCGGCCATACAAGTGGGAGGCGAAAGTCAGACCGTACGGTACCTTGAGAGTCGTGGCCCGGAGGCCCGGGAATCGGAGGGAGTGCGACGGTCGGAGGGGCCGGGAGCCTATAAAGAAGCGCTCAGCTGTGACCGGGAGCGCCGGGGCCGGGCACTGCAGGGCCGGGACCGTCCGACCCGGTCACTCCGCTCAGTCGGAGGCCGCTGCCAGTGATCATGAGTCGGACTCACAGTCAGGCTTGAGACCTCACCTTGACAGAGAAATTCATGCTCGAAATGCATGTGGGAAGAGATTTACTAGGGAGAGCGTTCAGATTATGCTTAGCCAAAGGGAGGCACAGTTTAGGGTTTAGGTTTACCTTCTCAGCACCGACGAGGAAGAAGCTCTTTCAATGGGGGAAGACTAACTCACCATGTTGTCCTCACTGTCCAGACCGAGAAGAAACCTGGGGACATGTTCAGCTTGCGTGTAGGCAATTCCAAGATATGATCCAAAAAGCACACAACGAAGTCATGAAGAAGATCAAGGTAAGACTGCAGCAGAGCTGGAGGAAACAAAGGGTACAGGTCAATTCATGGTGGGACACTCCAATACGCATCGTGATGGAAGCGATGGGGACTTCAATGCACCGAGAAGGGCAATGGATACCAGACGGTTGCTGCTACTTTGCAAGCATCAAACGCATTGTCCTCATCGAATTTGCAAGGACATCGGAATATGACGGAGTCGAACAAACAAGTCTGGAATGCCTGAAGAAGAAATTTCAGGAAAAGGAAGAGAAATATGCCCCCCTACGAGCAGAAATCACAGCTTTGCTACCTGACCATGAAGTGGAACAAGCAACATTCATAGCTGGAGTGAAAGGATCGATCATGGAGAGGGAATGGCATGAGAATTTCAGGAGGCTAAGGGTGGATGACACGGAATGGGAAGGCATCAAGACAGCAGCAATCAAGCAACTGCTGGCGGTACAACATACGCTATGGACGGCAAGAAGGGTAAGAGAGTCGATGTAGTCCGATGGGGGCAGGCGCGGCTCATGGACAAGCCACCCATGGCGCATGGTCATGGGCTGCATGAAGGGAAGAAGAGAAGGGCTAGCCAGCAGGAGAAGATACAGCCATGCCACAGTGGGCGACTGCATGCTGGGGGGGGAAGGGGCAGGAAGATGCAATGGAACTTAGCGAAAATAAGGAAGGGGACCGGGATCGGAATTGGAACGGGCCCGGAGGACATCGTTACTGAAAACAAGTAATACGGAAGCAACCAGGCCTAAGGGGCCTATAGGAAAATGGGCCAACCTCCCAAGGTTGGGAACCCCTTTAGACGGATCATTAGGCGAGAGATGAGCGAAGAGCAATAGTTCTTAGCTATGAAACTCTTGACTAAGAGTCTAATAAACTCAAATAATAATAATAATAATAGGGTTTAGGGTTTAGGGTTTAGGGTTTAGGGTTTAGGGTTTAGGGTTTAGGGTTTAGGGTTTAGGGTTTAGGGTTTAGGGTTTAGGGTTTAGGGTTTAGGGTTTAGGGTTTAGGGTTTAGGGTTTAGGGTTTAGGCGCCGGTTATTTCAGGCAGCGCCGGTTATTTCAGGCAGCGCCGGTTATTTCAGGCAGCGCCGGTTATTTCAGGCAGCGCCGGTTATTTCAGGCAGCGCCGGTTATTTCAGGCAGCGCCGGTTATTTCAGGCAGCGCCGGTTATTTCAGGCAGCGCCGGTTATTTCAGGCAGCGCCGGTTATTTCAGGCAGCGCCGGTTATTTCAGGCAGCGCCGGTTATTCAGGCAGCCCCGGTTATTTCAGGCAGCGC